GGCTTTTAGCTAGTATCTATGCGGAAGTACGGTATAATATCATTGTCATAAATATATATATATACAAAACAGGCAGGCAGCCCCATAAGTATAACCGAAATTCCACTAGGCATATTTGGTAAGGAAATAGGCGGTGAAGTTACATATTGATTTCCAGAGTTGCTATTTGCCTTTAAACATGAATAGGCATATAAGAACCGTTCCTGTGGGTCTGCATTTTACGTGCCCATTGGTACTGAACTAGATCGCCTACCATACCTTTATGAAGTACACTGACATCCGTTTCAGTTTCCGATTATAATTTCCTATTTGTAATACGCAAATGTTTGTGCAAATTTCAAACGTGCTAAAACTATTCTGTGTTGATTTATCGACTCTAGTAGCATATAGGCAAACTGCTAACATTGCATTTCCCTTACTGTTGCTATTTAGCATATGTTGACATTCTCTTGCCGTCTATTGGCAACGAGCAGAAAACTTCATGGCAAGTGGACTCCCTAAAGGAGCCATATGACTACGATTCGATTATGCACTACGCCCAGTGGATCTATCAAAATGGCAAAATGACTGAACAGGTAAGGCCTAAGGACCCGAACGCCAAAATTGGGCAGAGGAAGAAGCTCAGTGAGGGTGATATCAAACAGGCAAACAAGCTGTACAGCTGCCCTTGTAAGTACAATTAAATTCATCTTCGGTTTCCTTATCCTTACATGTTCTTGCTCTGTAACTGACAGGCAACGGACGATAGCTCGACGCTATATTTGCTGCTGCACTCTAAGCAGTAATTGTCATATGTGGAGCTCACTAAAGCATAGGAAAAACCCATGCTTCTGTAAAAATGGAACGGTGGCAATAGGAGGTAGCGGCTATGGCATATTGGCGGAACGAACATATAAGTGAAGCATTAGAGTGCATAAAATAATAGAAATCATTATTTAAATAACTTTATGTTTTCGCGCGATAATTAAATTAAAAAATGCATCCATAAGGAAACATTAAGTGCGTAATAATACGCGCGAATTTGGTACAATCGGTTTTCGACTTTATGTGGACGCTTTAGCGAAAGCCATTTTCAAATTCTTTTGTGAGCCAAAAGTCAACCGCATGCCGTACAAAATCAAAACAAAATAAAGTAAAACGAAGATTACTGAAAATTAACTATAATAAAATCGAAAGTGCATATGAACTAAATTCAAGCTAAGGGCATAATTTGGCATCGATTTCTGATAGTTTCGTGGGGAGCCATTGTTACATGTTGATAAACTGCGTGGTACTAAGCGGTTATAACGGGTTGCGAACGCTGAATAGGGCTTTTACTTGCAGTGAGCCACATGCCAGCATGGATTACTAAGATTTCCGTGGGGGGGGGGTCATTGTCGATGAACTGCGGCATACATAGGAGACAGCCGATGCCATGTTAATAAAAAAGCACGACTACTACGAAATAAGTAGACAGACATGCGAAAAATAAGCTGTCGTGAGTGCCAAATGCGACTTTCCCCCCAAATCCATCTCCAGGCGAAAATGTGCATCCGAAAAAGAGGATGAGAAGTCAACACAGGACAGTATGGCTAAGCATTGCTGGCAAAAGTCTCCATTAAGGAACTTTACTGAGTTGGTAGTTACATGTCTGTGTCGAAGTCAATGTTTTTCAAGTATTCCAGACTTTTATGCAATGCTCCTATCCCGATCATTTTCTCAGCCTGTGGACGAACACTTCTGCAATCCTCCGATAAATTTTCATCTCCAGAGTTGCCTCTGGGGACTGCAATCGTCTGCAAGTGGAGGATTTTAGCAAAACCTAAGGAGCGTATCGTCTTAAATTTCATTCGATTTCATGTGCGTCCAACTGGTGGGCAGTCTCTGGTGGACGCTTTCCAAACCTGCACGGACACATATGTGGAGGTGCATGATGGATACGAGGGCAACTCAAAATCACTTGGTGTGTAAAATTTATTGAGCACATTTTTTATTTAATTCTTGCCTTTTCTGGCCAGTTCAATGTCAATATTTTCGTTACTGTTGGTAATGTGACATATATGTACCCTAGAAGATGCGCGTCAATTCCCGGGAGTGCTGTCGCGTGCATTTGCCTAAGAAAGCAATCTGGCTTGGCACATAGGACTGTGTCGGAGGTCCTGACCTTTCGCCCGATGTGTAAACTGTATTCCCCATGGAACTATTAACGATATTTAGTTGACCCAATTTTAAAAGATTCTTGGCATCGGTGAGAGTCAACCCGTACACAGCAGGGAAGGCTTTTGCGCTGCCGACGCTCCACCGTTGAGCAACGAGGCCAACCGTGAACGCTGAATTAAATCGTTTGCCCAGCTTGACTGCACGTATGGAATCCACTAATACGGACGCAGTGAGCTAACTGCCGGTCATCTAAGATCGACCGGATGGATGGCAAGGTTAAGTTTTATATTTTTCGTCGTTAGTTGAGGGTTTTCTTTCTTAAGAATGAAGAGCAATTAGGTTTAATTCAGACTGTTCAGTCATTAGGCATTAAGGTCAATTTTCCGTTATTGTGGTTTAATCTTCAAAGTTGTATGATGCTTGTGCTTATTAGTTACAACCCAAAGGATAACATTTTGCCTTTCCGGTCACTTTGAAAGCTCCAAGATGCGATAACAGAGCGGCAAGTAATGAAGCTAATTACTGAGATTTACTCACAGGCACAATTTATACCGATGACGGCAACTCAGTGGCATAATTAAAAGCTTTTGAGACTGTAACCGGGGTATAACTGAGAGCGGCATTCTTAGGAGGCCAGCTTTCATAGCGAGCAGTTTCTGGTTATCCTCGTCACACTCTGGCCCA